GGGGCTGGGTGCTAGAATAACAGTGACATTCCTGGCCCGGACAAAAGCTGACGACGAGGAAGGCAGAGAGCTGGTACCTGTGCCGGGGGAGCTGTTTTTCAGCTTGGACGTTTGCCTCGACTCTTTCATCCAGGGGAATATCTGTTTGGTGAGGGTGGAGTTGGAGCCGGGACCGCACTTGGGGGGGCCGCTTTTGCTGGGCCCGCCCCCGTTACTGCTGTTGCTAGTGGCACTGGTAGGTGCGGCGCTGGGCGGGGGCGAGCCGGGCGGGGCGGGCAGGGGCTCCGGGGCCAGGCCGGGCCTCATGCAGCTGCCGTTGAGCTCCTTGCTCTTGGCATGCGGGGCGGCGTTGCCCAGGGACTGCAGCGAGCACGCTGAGCGCTGGTAGTCGCTCTCCAGGTGCGTGGCGGCCTGGAAGGGGGGTTGGGGGGGACCGTCGTAGCCGAATCCATTGCTGCCAGGGTACGAGGAGAAGCCTCCGAAGAGTGCAGCCGCGGCGTTGTCGTAGTAGGTGGCTTTCTGCATCGCTGGGCGAGGCCCGGGCAGTGGGTGGCAACTTGCAAGAGCCTGATACCCTCACGACCGGACATTGGCACCCGCGGGGGTCACGTGGCGCACCGGACCCCCCCCTCCCCTTTCTGCCCCCCTCCTCCCGTGTCTGTTTGTAGCGGCTGACCTGCGGGGTGAGAGAAGAGACACAAGGGGGAGAAGAGGACTGGGGCTCGAATCCATCTTAGAAACTGAAAAGGGAACTGACATCAATAGTTTTTTCTTCTCTCCCACCCCAACATCTTCACAGCAGATGCTGAGGCCACCTCCCTGACCTGAAATTTTTCTTATTTCAACGCTTTAATTTTAAAGAAAAAGCCCACCAGTTTTCATTGCCACTTAAAAAAATAAGGACTCCACTCGTTTGGGGACTGCCTAGTATAGAATCTTACTACTGCAAGGGCCATTGCTTCTCTCCTGCCTGCATGCTAGCTCCTGACCTCTCCTCCTCCCTCTCTCTATCACCACCCCCCCAACTCTGGGATATGGTGGCTCAAGAAGGAGGGGAGACTAGAAGACTCCAAAATAAAAGTGTCATCAACACCCTCCTCTGAGCTAAGGGGCCTCCTGCCTCCTGCCTTTGCCTCTTTCCTTGTCCATCTAGGTCTCCTTTACCCAAGCAGAGTCTAGCCTAGAGAAAACACAGGATGTCCGAAAGAGACAGGAGCGAGAAGCCAGTTGAGCAGGGAATCTTCTCATGTGAGGGATCCTGTCCGTCCCCTCCCACCTCATGAAGACAACAGCAGCCTGACCTAGAAACATCTTGAAGATTTTTAACCTCCAGAGCCAATGGAACTGCGCCTCCTCCATGGCCTGCTGCAGGTACCACCGCCTCCAGTCTGAGTCTGTGCTCAGCCAAGTCTGGGAGCCTGCAGCGAGCGGCCCCCACGGGGGCCCCAAATGGAGCAGGCCTGTTTCGATTTCCCTGGCCAGGCTGGGTGGTGCTGTGACCATTTGGCCCAGGTCCCCTCCCCTTCTTCATCAGACAATTTTTTCCCACCCTTTTCTTGACAGTCTGTTTCCTTTGATTTCTCCAAAAGAAGAAAAGAAGAAAGAAATTGGATAACTGCTGGACTTTTCTACCAAGACATGGGAAAGTGCTTTCTAAAAGAGAAAAATTTTCCCTAGGAATAAAGTCAACAAAACAATCTAACCAACAGTATTCTCTGGGTTGAAAATGGGGTACCCCTGTTTACCTGTTTACTGAAGTTCTCCGAGGCAAAAAAAAAAAATTCATTATTTTAATGCAGGCTTTTAAAAGTGTGCCAGAAAAATAAAACTTCAAGCTGTCTTAGGATTTTGTGTATTTCTTCTGAAATTTCTGACTGCATTTTCCCCCCCTCCTCCATCTGTCTTCCCCAACCTGTCACCATCACTTTTCATAAAACTTCCAGACTGACCCTCTCTTCTGAACATGTGAGTTTGGACTATGTAAATCTCATTCAGCCCAGCTGGTTAACTCCAAAGAAAACTAAAAATAGGAAAATAAAATAAAAGGAGTATGGGTGAAGGAAGTCCCTCCTACACATAAATCCCCTTTTTAATGGCACAGATTTATGCTCAAAAGGGAGTGGGGGTAGCCCTGAGCTCCGATTGGTTTCTGGGAAGAATTTGTTTCTGAGAAATACACATGGGTCTGCAAAGCAGCAGGTCCTTCCAGAGAGGAGAACTGGAGTTCAATTGACCAGGCTGACCCAATCCCTTTATTATTATTACCATTACCCTCTGATGATTTAACCAAAATTAGCTTCCGAGCAGCCCTGGCTGAAGGGGGAATTAATTAACAGGCATCAGTTGAGTTTGTTATTAATAGATAAGAGAATGAAATAAAAACGTTGGAGGGGGTTGGCTGGCTGGGCCCTGGCTTTATTTAGTCTAAATGATTGTTACAGCAGTAATGATGATGATGATGATGATGATGATGATAAAACAATAATTTGACTAGACGCCTGGGGCCGAAATTCCTGTCGTTCCCCCTGCAATAAACCCGCAAACCATCGCAGGACCGAGGCCAGGCAAGTGTGGGAAGCGGAGAAGCCAGAGACGCGATAGGAAAGAATGGAGACTCCGCCGGCGGCGAGAAAGGGCCGGGAAGGTTTGCGGACCGGTTGAGCCCCTGGCTGCCGCCGCCGGGCTGTCTCGGCCGCTGCTGCCGCGGTGGCTGGCGACTAGCTATGCTGGCCCAAGGAGACGAAGAGAAGGCGTACAGGATGCCAAAAAGGTTAGCAGCGGCAGGTTCCAAAACACCGGACGAGGGCCGAGCCCTAAGGGCGGCAGCAAGTTTGGGCGCTGGAGGTAACCGAATTAAAAGGCGCCTTAGCAACTCCGCTACGGGACTTTGCCGGGCCGGCTCGGCTGGAGGGCGCAGAGGCCTGGCTGACAGGACAGTGAGAAGGGGGAAAGGTGCCCTGGGGATCCGAGATCTGGGGATCCAGGAGAAGAGGGGGTGGGGAGCAGCTCTGCCAAGCCAAACACGTCTATTTCCCTTGCCTCCATGTTGGAAAAACCCAGGCTCCATATGGCTTCTTGGGAGAGAGGGAGGGAGGGAGAACCGTGGCTCCCGGCTTCCCCCCAGGGTCTCGCTGGAGAAGGGCGGTGAGCCACCCCAAGAACCCCACCTCTCCAGGCACACCCCCGGAAGAGCAGGGGAGAGTAACAATAGCTGGGGAAGCCCCGGGAGAGGGGATAGGCCACCTTCCAGGACTTAAAAAAAAATTAATGGGAGGAAGAAAAATAAGAGAACAAGAAAGGAAGAGAGAGAAATATTAGGCTCTTCTTAGCAGCCGGGAGAAAATTCAGCCCTGGATCTGGCTGTTGAAAGAAAAGGGGAGAAAAGGAGAGAAGCAGGAAGAGAGAGGGAGAGGGAAGAGAGGGAGGGAGGGAGGGAGAGAGAGAGAGAGTCGCTGCGTGGAAGGAAGCTTAAAGCTTGTGAACTCTTCTTGAACCGAGATTGGAGTCATATGGGCCATAAATCATTGAGACATACTCTCCGCCATTCACAAACTGATAGCCTATTTCAGTCCAGCTTACCTTAGCCACCGACGAGGGGAGAACAGGCAGACATAATATATATTCACATCGAGCCCCAGCGCGAGCGGCAGGCGAGAAATCTCCCCTCCTTGAAGGCAAAGGAAAAAAAGACCACTGTTTAAAGCTGCGTCGCCCCCCCCCCAACAGCCACCCCGACTCGGGAGCCCGAGGGGCAGACCGGCCGGCCGGAGGAGCCGCGCGGCGTCCGCTTCAATTCTCTCGGCTTAGGAGCGGGGGTGCGCAGGAGGGAGGGGGTGGGGGAGCGGGAAAAAAATAGAAGACCGAAAGGTGCTCAGGCGGGCGGCTCAGCTCGCCGAGAATCCAGCTCCAGGCTCGGCACGGCCAAGCCGCCACAGTGTGGTTGCCCTATAAGACTGGTACGCCCTACTCTCCGTAACAATGGCCTCTGCTTTTGCACAGGGAAAAAAACCACACAGACACACACACTCACTCACACACACACCAGCTCACACACACCCCCACCTCTCCCCCTTTAGTGAGCTTAGATGTCTGATAAGGAGGGAAGGTGATGGTGGTGTTGGGGGAGGGGGGAAATTTTTAAATGCCCCCCACAAAGAAAAGTGAGAAAGGGAAGAAGGTAGAGGTTTTTATTTTGTTTTTGTTTTTAAAGAACAGGAAAATTTTGAAATTAAGATTTTGGCGCGGGAGGAAGAGGAGAGCAAAGGAAAGGCAAAGGCGGTGCAGTTCACAGCTCTCCCAACCCCACTAGTAAACCATTATGCTAATTGAGAAGTAGCGTGGGGAGGCCCAGTCAAAGGCACCGGCTCGCCTGGGGGTGGGGGTGCTGGGTGCCCCTCTGCACTCATTCGCAGTGGGAACACCAGGACTTTTTTTTTTAAAGTAGTTTCACTGCTTGGGACTGGTGGCTGGTCTCCCGCCCTCTAGCTCTGGCTCCCTCCTTCTGAGTCTCTCAGTCTGTTTCTTCTCTCCCCCACACCCTTTCTATTCTTCCTCTCTCCGGAAAATCTCCAGGCCCAGTTTCCAACTGGTAGGGGGGAAGACCAGACCTTTTTTTTTAAACCCCTCCCTTTTATTTTATTTTATTTTATTTTTTTTGAGAACAGACAACAAGCGGTGAGTGATTATTTAAAAAATCCAGACCATCTTGCAGGGGGAGGGGAGTTGAGGAGAGGGTGACAAAAGGAGGACCCTGTGTTTAGCTTGAGCTTCAGATGAGGCCAGCAATAGAGAGGCTATAAGAACTTCACGGAGAAGTTTCTGTTAAGATTCTCACCTCCGGATAGGCAGAAGGGGCTAAGAGGTGATAAGGACATTTGTACTTCTAAGAAGATGAGAAGAACTAGCAAAATGGCTTAATTTTAAATGCACTGGCAGAAGAGCTGGAGGATAGTTATTATTATTCAGAGCAAACCTGTTTGTTTCTCTTAGCGCTACAAAATTTATGACTCTTGGCACAAGTGAGGAAGACTACAAAAGCTAAACTTTTCTTAGGGTGTGTTTGAGAAGGGCAGGAAAAGGCAAGGAGGCCTGTAGGAGGAAGACAGGAGCCAAGAATGTAGGTGTCTGCAGATTTGGGGAGGGGGTGGGGAAGAGCCATTCCCGGTGGAGGAAAAAGACAAAAAGAGCACCAGGACATTTCCAAAAGCAGGCGTGTTTGCAACTCTGCCTAACTGCTGACTCGGGGCCTGGGGATAAAATAGAAGGCAGACAGTCTCTCTTTTCTACAAAGGCAGCTTGGAAAACTTTTCTCTTAACTTCGTGTAGACAGAGCCAGCCACTACTACCCTGTGACCTCCTGGTTAGAATACTTGGCTTTTGCCTTCTCCATCTGGATGCACCAGGAGAGATGGGACTGGGAGAACAAAGGTGAGAGATGGTTTCCAGCTATTGTCTCCCCTCCAGGAGATCCTATCGCTCCCCACTCACAGGCTCTGCTTTGGGCTAAGAAAGGGTCCTAGTCTCACAGGGAGTGTTTCCCAGCCTCCTCCAGCCCCCACTTCTTCCAGGCCCACAAAGTCAGTCTTCCTGGGCTGGGGCAGCCAGTTTCCTGGGGCCCTGCTGAACAGGGGGTGGGAAACCGATGGGCTCCCTACCCTCCAGCAATAGGAACCACATGCAGAGCCTCCCACCGTGATGTCCTGAGGATCCTATCACCTGCCTAGAGAGTTGGTGGCTGAGGGAAAGGGGGAAGAAAGGTGAGGATGGAGGGTGGGAGCCATTTTTCTGTGTTTATTACTAGTATCAAGAAAAGAAAATGCCCAAGCTGGACCCAGTGTTGGGGCTCAAGCCAGGACCCTCAAAGAGAGCCCTTAGGGCTGCCTAAGTATGTGGCTGCAAGGAGTCTGTCCTGAGATCTCTGGACCCTGGTTAGAGACCTACAAGGTTGGACCCAAATTAGCTTTGGGCCTGGTAGGGTGTCAGGGGCTTGGGCCAGGGCTTCCAGGGGCTGAAGGGAACTATTACCTTTGAGCTTTCTCTCTCACTCCCCAAAATGAAGTCAAGAATGTACCTCAGACCCTCCAGCTCTCCTAGCTGTTGCTACCACTGTCTAGACAAGGTCATTGTGAAATCCAGAGAAGAGAAGAAGCCAGTCACTTGTGGGGCTTTACAGCTTTGCCTCAAGGAATAAAAAAAGAGCCCAGAGGGCACTCAGCCAGCTGTGGGCCTGCGAGGCCGGGCTGCAGGAGGATCCGGCCTGGAGCTGAGCCGAGCGGAGGGTGGAGGAGTTTTCCAGATGGACCCCTCCCCTTTCAAAGCCTCCTTGACTCCTTGTGGTCCCTTGTGGCTACACAAGAAGGTGGGGCGCAGTGGGCTGGGAGCAGACAGGAGGACTGGGGAGTAAGAAAACTAACCTGGAGAAAAATTTCAGAGGACATGCACCCCCAATTGTGGTAGGAGATGGAGTGGGGGCTTCTTAATTCTGGAGAGCAGAGCGCATTTGAAATGCTTGGGAGGCAATGAGATCCCAGTTTGGTTTCCTTTTTGCCTTTTTTCTTCCTTTCTCGGCAATTTCTGGCTGGTGGATTGTCCCTGACTGGGGCTGGGAGGGTGGGGGTAGGTGGTAGAACAGGCAGCTGGAGAGCACACATTTCATTTCAGGTTAGGGACCTTTCAAACTTCAGGGGACAAAGGCGGGGCAGTGGGGAGCTTGGGGTGGGAGACACCAGAGGAGTCTGAGAGAAAACTTCGGGCTCTGGAAAAAAGAGGACGCAGAGGAGTTTATCACCCCTGACACTGAAGTCATGATTTAGAGGAGACTAGAAAGAGAAGAGGGGACGATTTCTTTCTGGATTCAAGGAAGGAAACTTGTGTGTGTCTGTGTGCATGTGTGTGTGAGAGAGAGAGAAATTGAAAAAGAAAAATTGAGAGAAAGATTAAGACAGAGACCTTAGTGTAATGTAATAAAGGCAGAAATTAATAATAAAGGTAAAAATTAGAGAAAATGTTTCCCTTCATAGACATTTTTTCCTCTCCGATTCAGTTTCCACAGAGCCAGAGCACCCACTCTGGGACTCCCCTCCCCCACTCCTAATCCATACCCACTACCAGGGGACATGGAGCCCTTCAACCCCCTTGAGCGATCACTGACCACCCACCCTTCGAGACCTTGAGGGGATCATGTCTGTTTCCCTCCCCCCCAAAAAAATCCATCAAAGAGCAAACAAAAATTCTCCTCTCAAGAAGGACAAACTGGCTGACTCCTTTAAAATCGATTTCTGATATCAAACTTGGAACCACCAAGGACCCTGCCTCCACTCAGCAAGCCTCAAATTCGCAGGGCCTGCAGGGCACCCTGACAAGCTGGGACCTGGAGCCCAGGCCAGGCTTAGCGATCTGTTTCCTTCTGGTCCTGCCTGGGTTCTGGGTCCCACACTCTTTTCCAGCTTCAATGCCCAACTTTGTGGCCGCGGCAGAGTCGTGGAAAGTTCACACACGCACCCGAACCTCCGTCTCTTCTTAAATATTAATAAAGATTTCAAAGCCAGGGGTCATAAACTGGGAATTGCTGCTGAAGACTGCTCTTGGTCTTCAATCCCCACCTCTCTAACGTGCCTGGAGCAGGAAGGAACAAAGCAGCAGCAGGAAAGAGAAGATTCGGCGCCTCTGCAGAGGCCCGTGTACACCCAGCTCAGCAGAAGCGGGGATCGAAAGAAAAAGCCCGCTACTGTTGGAGAAGAAAAATCCAAGCTGTATTCTCTCTCCATGCCAGGCATCGGGGCGCGAGAGGGAGGCAGGAAAAAAACAGGGCAGCTATGAGGGTTTGCAAAGTCTGTCCACTCGGCGACAACGGAGGCCGCGCCCGAATGCGCTGATGAGCGGATGGCGGTGCCCAGGGCCAAATTGCGAGTCACAGAGAGGCGGGCGCGTTGTGGGCGTATGGGCCCCTTTTGAATCAGGGGTACCGCCTCATTTAGAAGCTCAGTCCTGGCCTGGCAAACCCCAGTCCGGCGGATGTTAGGACAAAGGTGGGCAGAGTGGAGAAGGCAAGAGGGAGAGGGGGGAATCCTGAACAGCTTGGGGGTGGGGTTGCTGGGGAAGGGAGGGATAGGCAGGCAAGAGAGGAACAGGGGCCCAGCCCGCTGCGAGTGACTGCGCAGGTCTCTCCTGACAGATTGGATGTCTCTCTCCCAGTGACCTCTGTTTAGCAGACAATAACTCACAGGATTAATGACCAATCAGCAGAAGGCCTTCGAATTGCCTCCAAATATAAAACTCCAAAGTCAGAACGGGGTAGGGCCAGAGTCTGGGCCTGCCAACCCTTTTGTTTTTCTCTCTCTCACTCAAAATAGGGTTTGGGGTGAGGCTTTAGGAAATGGATAACCTGGCCAGAGACTCTGATTTCCAAAACCCCAAAGATGAAGTTGTTTCCCATCTTTTCCCACTTCCTCCCCCAGAACTCATATCCCTGACCACACTTCCCAAGGCAGTCTGGAAACCTCCCCTCCCCTGCTGGCCTCCTCATATCCCTGATCCTATAAGAAATATCCCTTCTCACAACCATGCAACTTCTGAGAAACCCCCATCCCTTTTGAATTTTATCCTCTCCCAGTTGGGGGAAAAAGATGGGAAATAAGGGCAAGAATAGGGTGGGCGGGGGTTAGCCAC